TATCGATTTTTAAGTCAGTTTTAAAAACTCATCTTTTTAGGCAGGCCTTTTTATCTGACGTTTAATGCTTTGAGTTCTCTACAGAGATAATGGTGTGTTATTTGTTTATAGACTGCTATGATGTTCTATGTTGGCTTTTCGGTATTGTACAGCACTTTGTGCTTAGGTCAGCTGTAAACTGCTTTAGAAATAAAGTTTATTATTATTAAGTGTTCCCAGATCATAGGGCGTAGTGTCCCCCATATTGCAGTGTTTACTCTTTATTATAATAACCAGTGTTTTGTGGAAAACGCAAAAACTTGGAAACTCTGCATAGATCTTACAGGTAATACTATGAAGATTAAAATGGCAAGATTGTAAAAATATTCAGCAACACTTTGACTCTGGTGCAGACAAATCATGGTCACAGCTGTACCACAGTGACATGCTGTACCAGTAATTTGAATGTATTTACTTATTTTCTTTTATTTGCTTGATTGTAATTATGTTTTGCCAGTCATTTTTGTTATTAGTCTCATTGTCTTTATATGCTAATTGTTTTTAAACTTTGTGTTCTGTAAAGCCCTTTGAATTGCATGAACCTGTATGAGCGATGCTATACAAATAACATTTCAACTGAATCTTGGAAAGCGAGCAAATATTTGAGGCTTACACTGAATATGGTTTTGTGTTTTTATATGACCTCTGTGTGTGTGTGTGTGTGTGTGTGTGTGTGTCCCTGCAGGTACCAAGGTCCTCTGTTAGAGGAAGGAGCTCTAGATTCTGCTGTGTGTGGAGGAGCAGCCTCACCTGAGTTTACTAAGCTCTGCGCCTGGATTGTCTCAGAGCTTAGAATCTATTGCCTGCTGGAAGAGAATGTCCATGCCACCAACTGTGAGACATATCGCCACTATTAAGTGAAGTTGCTGCTTGTAGAGAATTAAGAGAAAGTATCTATACTTACAGTAGAGTTGCACAAAAAATGGTTCTAGTTAACGTGTCCTTTTCTTGCTAGTTGAATGTTGATAATGATGGCAAAGAAATGAAAAATAAAATGCGACCTTCTGTGGTTTAGGTGTCATGGGTAAATAAGTATGTTATTAGGTTAAAATTACTAAGCTTTTAAACAGGCCTAATGGTAGAAGAGGGTAAAAATTTACATTTGGGCGTATATAATCGCTGTTAACGGTATTTGTACCGTGAGGGTGTGTGGTTGAGACCTGCGTTGTTGCAAACGCAACTAGGCTTTTTTGCTTAAATTTAATGTTGGATATATTTGTCCCTATACTCATCTCAGGTACAAGTGAGGCTGAGAGCTTCCAGCTAGAGGTCAGCGGTCTGCTGTCGGAACTCGCCTGTCCTTACACTGTCCTCACCAGTGGAGACATCACCCAGAGGCTCTTAAACAGGACGGACTGTCTGCTGCTTCTCAGTATGATAACAGCACTTTTCAACATTTCTAGTGAAACACAAACTCAAGAGTTAATATCTTATCTTAAACAGTATTGTTGCATTGACCTGTTGGCTGCTAATGTGAAAGTGTGGACATGGCATGCTGCCCTGGGCTTTAGCTCAGTGGGTTAACACAATGCCAGTTGGTTCACTTAGCTCAGACATAGCATGCGGCCACCACTAGATGGCAGCACAAGCAGCATGTGTGCAGATCAAGTCTCTGCAGCTACATCAGGTGTTGTCAGTTATCCGGTTGATTAGACCTCTGTTGGATACAGTTGTTTAGAATTACATGAGCTCACCAAACTACGTGTACTTCTAAAAGTGATAAAGGTATTGCCCTATTATAATAGCTGCAACAAAAGTAACAGAAGGGAGAGAGATGTAAATCCAGGACAGCCTGTGCATACCCACATGTTTCAAAAAAGAGCCCAGACATTTCTATAAAGATAGTGTATGTTTGTATTACACTTTTGGTCTACAGATATCCAGCTTGTGTCCCGGTCTTCATTTGAAGGCCACACAACAGACAGATTTCAAGCTCCTGTTTCACTGAAGTGCTGCTATTGGGAAAAGAGATGTCCTAATTTTAGCATGTGCCATCATCTGGTTTAGAGCAATAGTTCACTGTCAGACTACAAAGTGCAGTATCACTGTTGGACTCCTTATAGCCTGTGGGACCAAAGTTTATTTATTACCTCTGACAGGACACTTGACATCACTTCCTTTCTGGGGCTGAATTCTGGGTAACTCCTTTGAACAGAATGCTAATGTAACCGGGCTTTGATATCATGAGTGGCGACCTCACTCAGTTCCCAGTATAGCTCTGTCAAGCCTTCTCACTCAGTTCCCAGTATAGCTCTGTCCAGCCTTTTTTGTTGGTTCAGTCATGTTTGTGACATGTATCCAGCTCCTATTTGAATACTGCTGAAGTCCTAAAATAACATGTATGTGCAGATTTTACTGAAATGTGAAATTCGTGTAAGCAGGGATGTGTGATATTGACATAAAATGATATCTATACATTCTGGGATTTTTGTCTAATGATAAGCAGACGATATTTTGCGTCCTTCAGAGGTGTGTTTACTGGGTCACACTTGTTAATAGAATATTAATTGTTGCTTCCTGATGATATTAATAGAAACAACATTGAAGGAAAAAGGCCATATTTATTTACTTAAAACTGAAGCATTCAAGTAAAACGGTACACAAACATTGAAATTACTTTCGCAAAATGATTCTGCTAAAGTTTGCCGAGTGTGTTTTTGTGTTGGTAACTTGGCTGGTTTAGTCCTGTCATGGACAGCAGACTCCTGAAGCTTTTCATATTGTTCATATTCTGTGTGGTGCTAAGTTTGCAGGTCAAACAAGCTGTCACTCTGTCTTTAACAGCAACTGATTTCTGACAGTTTGCAGGTTGTAGTCTTTTGAGCAGCATCCCTCTTTTCAAAGCCACATACCTCGTGTGAATGAGGATGATCCACCTCTAGCATAGACCGTGATGCTTTTGGTGTCTGTGTTTTGTATCCTGGCGCTATTTGTTCACTCATTTTTAACTTTTCGAATGCATTTTTAGGCAGCTACACTAGAGTAACTTGTGGTGCATGACCATGTACACACTGGGTGTGCTCTCCATGTGCATGCGTAGTAGTCTATGCTGCTAGGCTACATGACGCATTGAATGTGTGACCTCTCAAGGCATGTTTTAGAAACATGAGTGACATAACTCAATAATGTCAGCTCACACATTAAGGCAAGATATTGCAGATGATACATATTGTTCACTCCTACATAACTGTTGTTTGTGTGACCAGCAAATTGCACATTTTCCTCAGAAAACTTGGTTATGACCTGTTTCTTCCAACTCTGATAGCTTGTCCCAAAATGTCCAACAAATTTGAAACATTCACATCTCTCCACGGACCTGTGTCGCTGTTGATGCTCTCCTCTGAATGAGGATGATTGTGGTGATACCTGTGCTTAAATTTAGATATAGTAACAGCATAACTAGAAAAGAATAAACTTTAGAAACACCTGAAATAATTTCCAAATATGAAGATGAGACTGAGGATATACTGCATATAAATGCACAAATTATTATATGGAATCTAGAGTATTTTTGGCTTATCTGATGAACTAACTAGTACTGTACAAGTAAGTCATGCACATTAACAAGCTATGAGTAATGGCAGCCTTTTTCTGCTGGCCGAGCAGAGGTGAGAAGTAGTAGTTGATGCCTGATGAGCTCTATGTGACTGAAATGATGTTTATAATCAATGAAATATTGTAAAACAGTGTCTTTTTTTTTTTCTTATACAAGGCCATAAGGGGTGATAGAACATTTTATTTCCAAAGAATGTCACATAGTCTCATGTTATTCTTAGCTGTAGAGATGGATTAAGAGGGTAAAAGGATCAACACAAGGATCAGCCAGCATTCTTGTCTGGAGTGAAAGAGTCAAGGATAGTGTTAAACTGACTTTCCATTTATTGGAAGCTACCTTTTGTGCTGACTCCGAAAGAAAGAAAGAAAGTCACTTTCGGCTTTTCCCGTGTAGGGGTCGCCACAGCAAATTGTCACACTGACGACTCACATGTTGACATTTGACACGTGTTTTACGCCGCATGCCCTTCCTGACGCAACCCTGATTCGAACCCTGAGCCATCCCTGATAGGCCTCAACCACTAGCCTACCAGGGATGGCTGCTTTTTGTGCTAACTCTAATTGGCCATAAAACAAATATAGGTTTAAATAAAGTTTTTAATGATCTAAAATTACCTGTAATTAAAATAATTTATTTATTCATGACAGCCTTCATTGATAGCAGGTGAAGTCGGTCAGTCAGCTTCACAGTCCGTTCATACCATCAATTCTGTGCGCTGCTGAGTGGAGGCAGCTCATATCAGGCAGTAGAAATGGTATGATCCACTTCAGGAGTGTGCAGTTATCATATTAGATGCTTCTTCAAGGCATGAATGTTGCCTCCATTCAGAGTGCACTGTTCAAAGTAAAACAGACCAGTCATATACTTTGTGAACCATAGGTATTGCAAAGACCTTAATTGTGCAAGTAAACCTTAATACAGCAGCGCACTCCCCTAGTGCTCTGGCAGGAGAAGTGGCCTAAAGGACAGGAAAAGATGAGATGGGGCGTCAAACGTTTTTGTTTGTTGTGAATACCTGATGAAGACTTAATGTGGAAATGTCGTTGGCATGGCAGCTTGACCTGAATAAGCATTTGTTGGAGCATTAAATTGGTGTGTGGGCTATAGTTCTTTTCTTCATTATGATTAGAATTGATTTAAAAAGGTATTTTGATTATATGGGGCCTAAAAACTCATCCCTTTTAGAAGAGCTAAACCCCCAGCTTCCACACTGTATCTAGCAGAAAGCTCTTAAATACTCCGTGACTGCAGCTTCATGTCACTGCCCCCTGCTCCTATTGTCTGCTCTTGGCTGCTGTCCAGGCGAGACAAGTGAGCTGATAGAGAGGGCAGAAGAGAGTACCAGCAGCTTGTGAGAAGTGGCCATACACAAGAAAAGGTCCTGGCAAGACAAAGAGCAAAAAGTAGAAGTGCCAGTACTGCACACCGGCCCACTTGGAGCACTGGAACAGAACTTTTGGAGGTTTTTTTTGTTTTGTTTGTTTGTTTGTTTGTTTTTTTCCAACAGCATTTACCTTAGTGTTGTACTGGGACACCACATATGTCAGTGTTATCTCACCTTCACATGCTCCTCTCAGATCAAAGAAAGTGGTCTTAGACGATTAAATCATATCACAACATTTGTCATCTGCACCAGCCCTTACGTGCTCACTTAAATAGAACAGTCAGTGTTATAAGATGTTTCTGTTCTTATGATGTGTTAAAATGTTTGGCACTGCCTTAGCAACAAAGATGGAGTTCATAAATCTTTACTGAACTTTAAAATCTTTTTTGCTTTTTCATTTATTTTCAGTGACAAAGCTTATGCCAGTCCACCCTCCCCAAAGTTGGTCTTATTTAATGGACTGTGTGGCTCTGACATGGTTTTAAATATGACTTTCTGAAACTTAAGCATGTTTTCGAAGCATTTAGAATTTGATCAAGTCCATTTTCTATGTCAGCCTTTCTGGTATCTGAGTTGGAGGCGTCAAGGATGATCCTGGTCAGCAAGCCTCAGAAGAAAGCCCAGGAGTCAGGCAGCCCCTTGTTTCAGGAACTGAAGGGTATCTGCATGGCGCTGGGCATGTCCAAGCCTCCTGCCAACATCAGCATGTTCCAGTTCTTCAGTGGAATAGAGAAGAAGGTCAGTTGGTCTGGTTACACACAGAGATGGTGTACACTCACAACAACTGAACAGCATCTTGTAAGGTTAATCCTGTATTTCAAGCTGGCCATTCTCATTCATGTCCTGACAACAGCTACTGAAACAACATGTGGACTGACAGTTGAATGTGTCCTTTACCCTAGAATCTCTGGGTTGTTTAAACTGGTTTCAAGAGCGGCAAACCACATGTTTTTTTGTGACCTTTGTGTGTCATGATGGTCGGGATCTTGTTTCACAGAATTGTTTGTCCTCACAATAAGTGCCTATTTAGCTTAGCATGTTTTGGCAAAGAAAATATAACATTATATAGTATAAGCAAATATTATCAGTAGTCTTAGTGAGAAGAAACCTACATCTTCCTGATTTTGTCACAGTGCTATAACATATTGTATGTCTAATTTTTCTTAGCTGAAGGAAGCCATAGGCCGTGTCCCGCCGACTCATGTAGGGGAGCCATTGATGAGGAAGCCCCTTGGACCTGTGCACTTGGTAAATACTGTTATTAAATTATGGAGAAAGGTAATGCAGTTTGGGGAACATGGCACAAGTGAATGACTCTTCTCTTTTGCTTATCATTTTCCAGGAAAGAATTGAAGCTATAAACCAAGCACTAGTAAATGAGTATGAAGTGAGAAGGAAGATGATGTTGAAACGCCTCGATGTGACAGTGCAGTCTTTTGGATGGTCTGACAGAGCAAAGGTATGGGGCAGTTTGGGATCTTCCTAAATCTGAAAAGGGTACGATGTTTTGATGAAACACAAATAAGCCATTTTAAACGAGAATACTTTGTACACCTTGTGGTGGCCTTAGTATAGTTTGGCCACTCTCGATGTGGGCCTGCCTTTTGTCCTGCTAAGAGAGAGAGATGAATTAGTAAACAGTTTGCTTAACAAGGAATCAATTGGTATGGAAAACTAAAAAGGCCAAATGTAGACACCCCCCAGCTGGAGAAGGCCTCCTGTGGGGTTGGGTATTGTTTCAGTTTTATCACTTCTGTTTCTGCTTATCAAGCCCAGTTCTTGTTGATTCTTGGTTCTGATTCCAATATTTTTTGGAAGAAATTCCATGAACAAAAATGAGCCTTTATTCTTGGCATAATAAGGCTATAATCAGTAAACTGTGAAATGTGTCACAAATGTTTGTTTCCCTTCATGGGGGGTATCTGGGGAAGGGGGATGAACCATTGGTGGAGGGGTGCTCTCTGAAGTTGTATCTAAGTAAAATATATGTTAGAATAATTTGTACACAACATTTGTTTACCTTAAATTAATTATCAGCTTCTCTGTGTTTTTTATCTGAGTGAGACATCGCTAATGTTGAGGTGAGCTGTACCATTACTGTGGCTGTGAGATCACAGCACATCAAGCGCAGTGCATTACTTTAGATTCATGCAGTGTTGAAGGAAAAGCTTTTGTCATGTTAGTGGTGCTTCCTTCATGCACAAAATATCCTTACTGCCGGTGGTGCATTTTGCCGTCCACATGAATGCCACATAATACAAGTGAAATGTAAAGTAGATGAGCATGACAAATCTAAATAGGCAGTAAAATCACAAATCTAAGGCACTTTAAAGCAGCAAGTGAAGGGAGCAAACAAAAATACAACAAGAACACAATATAATGCAGAGAGAATATTTGCTACGTGGGAGCCGTGGAGTGTAAATACTCAGCAGTGAGTGTGCAATTATGCATGTGCAAAATGAGTATGTAAACAGTACAGATGGAATTACATGAGGTAGATCCTGAGTCAGCTGTTTATGATGCATTGTGACACTGCCTGCTGTGGACTTAATTATGAATTAAGTTTAAACTTGATGAGGGCTGCAGCTGATGATTACTTTCATTATGAGGTAATCTGATGATTCTCAATTTTTTATGAAATTGGTTAAAAGTGAAAAATGCTGGTGATGGTTTTCTCAAGCTCAAGGTGTCATGATATGGCTTGTTTTATAAGCAACAATCTAAAATCTAAATATACTTGGTTTAAGAGAAGGAAAAGCAGCAAAGCTTCACAGTTTGGAAGCTGATCTGTCAAATGTTTGACATTTCTGCTTGACAAATGATATGAAAGATTAAGTGATTTTTTTTTTTTTTAAATATAGCTGTAGAATCATTTTCTGACCAGCAGCATATCGAGTGACTAATTGTTGCAGATCTAATTTTGAGCATATTCTGATATGAGTGTGGCCACCCCAGCATTTCTGACCTATACGGACAGCAACACTGCTCGATTCTCCTCTCAGGCCATGCACAGGTATTGTGTGTTGGCCTCATTCATTGAATGATGAGTGAATGAATTGTTTGTTTCTGTGTCATACCAAAATTTTCTACCATATGTCAGTTACATATCAATTCAGTAACAGCTTTCAGCAATTGGCATGTTCCGAAGAAAAATGTTAGCTGCAAATCACATATTGTACATACAGTATATGACTAAAATACTTGATGTATTGGTTTCCAAAAATGACGCAGGCCTTCCTTTGTATGACATATTCCAGACGCATACTGAAAAGCTGGCCAAAGCTTACCAGCCACTGCGCTCTGCCCTGTGCACCAAAAGTAAAACCTCTGTTGCCCACCTCCTTGCTGTTCGACAAGACTTATCCAAGATCCTACGCACAAGCAGCGGCAAGATGAGAGAGAAGACTGCTTGTGCTATCAATAAGGTTGGCTAAACACCGTGTAGTCAAATCCTTCTTTTGTTTCAGGATATTCATAGTGTTTTAATGTTAATGTTTCTTTGTTTATAAGGGGTGTGCAAAAGTCAGAGTTCTAATGATGTATCTAAACAAATGTGCGGGGATTTGGTCTGTGGCAACACTTAGAGGTTAGAGCAGATTTTTAAACTAAAGACATTTATTTCTGTGACAGGGAGGCATTTGTGCCTCCACTCACATAGGTTTGGCATTATTTAATATTTTTATTTAAACAAATTTTGTTAAAAGACCAAAATTAAATGTCTGAGTATGTTTTAATGGTTGGGCATTGTGAGACAGACTCAGCTGGCTCTCAACTGCAAGCTCACTATTTCCTACTGAAGACAAAAGTATTGAAACTTTAATCATAAATATACTTTATATTTTGGAAACAAATAAAATTGGCTTATTTGAAAAATGCTTAGTTTTCAGAAACTGATTATTGGCATAAGTTACTGACAGGAAATATTAGGACTGTCAGGACAAATTAAACTATTTCTATAGCACTGTACAAAACATGGTTACAAAGTGCTTCACAACAGCAAAAGAACATAGACGTTTGCATGTTTAAAACACAAGCAAACGTGTGCATACATAAAGCCCCATGTTATCAGTATTGGTGTACACCGATCAGCCATAACATTATGACCACCTGCCTAACGCTGTTTACATCAGAGTCAGTGAGGCAGTTGGTTGGCACTTGTGTCAACTGCAGCTCACTCTGCATCTTCTATGAATCCATTTGCTTCCACAGTTCTACTGTCAGGAAGAGCACAGATGTGTCTACAATTCAGTGAAAAACTTATGTAAAAGGAGTGAAAAGTGGTCGTGAGGACAAGTTTAAGCTACAGCAGGTCAACCTCATCATCAGTGAGCCATGGGCATTCATGACCCTGTCGCCAGTTCACCATTTGTCCTTCCCTAGACACTGTTGGTAGGTACTAACCACTTCAGACCAAGAACACCCACCAAGACCTGCAGCGTGGGAGATGCTCTGACCCAGTCATCTCACCATCACAGTCTGGCCTTTGTCAAAGTCACTCAGATCCTTACACTTGCCCATTTTCCTGCTTCCAACACATCAACTTTGAGGACTGAATGTTCACTTGCTGACTAATATACCCCACACACTGACAGGTGTCAATGTAACAGTCGGTGTTATTCACTTCACCTGCCAGTGGTCATAATGCTATGGTTGATCGGTGTATGTGTGCCTTCTAAAAAAAAAAAAAATTAAATGTTATTAGTAAATTATGTGTTTTTAATTTAATCAGGTGGTTTTAGATAGAAGACAGGCAGGGTTTAGGGTGTACCTTCAATATAGTTTGATTCATCCAAAAAAAAACTGAGCTTCAGGAACCCAGTGAAAGAAGCCCAAAATGACTGAAGCACCAGCATCTGTTTTAAGTATTTTGTTTTGTCCTTTTCTTTAACCCATCATGTTCACTCAGAGAAACATAGGATACATCTCAGGTTTCTTATAAGCACCGTTGTTTCCCTCACTTGCATCTTTTTCTCGTGTCGTAGTCCTGCCACATAAAATGCGAGGAAAACACGTAAGGAGAAAGGACTCGAGGAACTGCATTATTAACGATATGAGATGTTTTTTTTTCCCCTCAGATCTTTCATCTTAAGCATCTAATCACCAACTGATTTCTGATAAAGTGGTGTGTCAGTTCACATAAATCTCCGTGAAGAATGGTCTTGTGTGTCCTCGGTCCTCAGAGCTGATTTAAGAGGCTTAGAACTTTGACTGAGACATGAGATATACCCAGTATCTCACAGAAAGAACAAACAAAAATGGGATTGTATTGGCTGTTAAGCTTCCTTCTAAAGTATCAAGATTTAATGTGTGTCCTTTTCTCAGGTTCTAATGGGCCGAGTGCCAGACAGGGGAGGCCGACCCTGTGAAATTGAGCCACCTCCTCCAGAGATGCCGTCCTGGCAGAAGCGCCAGGATGCTCCACAGGGCGGAGGACACCATGGGGGTGGGGGTGGGCATGGAGGCAGCAGAGGAGGCTACGATCACTACTCTCAAGGTGGGCGTGGAGGATATGAGAGAGGAGGAGGACCTGGAGACAGGGGAGGCAGAGGAGGAGGTGGCAGAGCGGGGAAGGTGCAGGGAAGCTGGGGAGATGGAGGTAGAGGTGGTTACAGCCAGGGCCAATATCAGGATACAGGAGGTCATCAGGGAGGAGGGGGGAGAAGTGGTTATACAGAAGGAGGGAAAAATCAAGGAGGCTTCCAGGACCCTGGTTATCACGGAGGAGGTGGTTACCATGACAATTACCACCAAGACGGAGGCTGGCATCAGGAGAGAGGTGGTGGCCGAGGAGGTCGGGGAAGCAGGGGTAGAGGAGGCCGTGGTGGAGGACAAGGGGGAAACTGGGGAGGGAGGGGAGGGCAGAATTTTAACCAAGGAGGACAATTTGAACAGTTCTTCCAACATGGTGGGCAGCACTACAACCAGGCTGGCTTTAATCAAAGCAGACACTACACTAGTTGAAGACGCAATGTGGGGCATGGCAGCAGAATCCACTTGTCATGCGTGAACAGAATTAAAATGCCTTATTGTAACGTCTTCACGTTTTCAGCATAGTAAAATTTTGACTAAGATTTCAAATGAGGATATACACTCACCAGCCACTTTATTAGGTACACCTGTACTATTGTATGCAATTGACTGCAACACTTCTGCCTTAACATCTGTGTTCATGAAGCTCAAAATGTTTCATATTTTGGTGAAATTGTCATAAATGTATAAATTAAATTGTGTTGTACTGGACTATATTCAGAAGTGTCTTTTTTTCCTCCCCAGCTACATACATGAGAGGGTCAGAATATTAGGAACAACCTGAATCTAATGTAGTCAAGTAAACACCACCTTTAACTATGACCTCAGTAATAAACATATAATTGAATTTATACATTTGACAATTTCTCCAAAAACAAACATTTTGAGCGCAAATGTTAGAGTGGATGTGTTGCATTAAGTGGAGACAACTGTACAGGTGCACCTAATAAAGTGGTCGGTGAGTGTACAGATAACTGAATAGTCACTAAAGACAGCATTGGAGTAATTGCTTTAATATAAAGGGTAGTATTTTGGTTTTTCATTCTGTTGTTATTGTTCCCTTATTTTGCCTCCAAATGAGTATTCCAGCCAAAAGCTCTGCTATAAATGGAGTCCATTAGGTGGAATCTGCTGTCTTACCCTCATTTTGACATGTAATATTAATACATTGACCATTTTTGGAAAGACAGGAAAAGTTCATAAGGTTTCAGTGTTGGTGTACCTGCCGTGTACAGTATATGACATAAGACAAAAACAGCATTATTACATGTAGGATTCTAGTATAGGTTACAGTAAAATTTGATGACTGAAAACAGCTTTATCTTTTCAGTCTTCATTTTGTTTCAGTAGATGTCACTGAAACGTCTTTTGTTCCATGTTTAAAATATGTGATCTTGTTGTGCTCATTGCATATTATATGCATACAAATGTGGATGTTGGGATGTTTGCAGGCATGGGTGAGTAAGCAATAAAATTTAAAATGAGAATACTGACTTTTTAAATTTACTGGCCTGGTTTTCTAAGGCAGGGAACTGTAAAATTTAATGTTTGGGCTAGAGATAGGGGAATGATACTGAAGCTCCATATCGTCACTCTTGTGAAGTGCACAGTGGGCAGTGGTGGAAGAAGTACTCAAGATCCCTTACTTAAAGAGCACATGGCACTTGTCCTTGTTTTTTGACTTATCTACAATGTTACAATGGTGAATTATCATCTTAGATGTGACCTAAAGCTCAAAAAATGAGGTGTACGTATGTTCTAGTACAGACTATTTGGAGTTATGATGGGTGCAAAGCTAATCTAGAGATACCCAAGATTAAACATTAAATGGCTGGAAATGAGTAAAATGAGCAACCATGGCCACTTTTATGTAAAAGTAGCAATACAATAGTGTAAAAATACTCTGTTACAAGTAAATGTGCAGCACTAAAAATGTTACTTTGAGAACAAAAGTATTAGCATCAAAACATACTTAAAGTGCTAAAAGTAAAAGCAGTCATGCAGAATTGAGCATTTAATGTATATCATGATTTGATAATGCATTGCTGCAGTGGCAGCTGGTAAAGGGGGTGCTAGTTTTAACAAGCATATATGCTTGGAATTTGAATTACTCCTGGGTAGCTTTTGGAGATCAATAAAGTCTTTTGATTATGCTGTAACCTTTGTATTAATCTGGTTCTGAAAAGTAATTGGTGAATTATAAACTGAATGTAGTGGAGTAAAAAGTACAATCTTTGCCTCTAAAATATAGTGAAGTCAAAGTATGAAATAGCACAAAATCAAATCAAATTAAGTAAAGTACAGATACCTCATAATTGTACTTATGTACTTGGTTACTTTCCACTACTGTCAGCAGGTTGTGCTGGAGCTTGTATAAAAGAAGAATGTCACATGATCACATCTGAAGCTTCAGACATCAGGTGAACAGAGCTTGAAAGTTTTGCATCTAAACAGTGTGACGGGTAAATTAGTTGGCTAAGAAGAGAGAAGACTGTTACCTACCAATGCATACTACAGACAGACAAATTCAGGACTGATCAGTAACATATAACTATATTAAAATGCTGGCAACTGATGGCATTTTTGAGAGAAGCAGGACTGACTAGAAGGAGCAGCTTTTTCTAGATCCATGCAGTGCCACAAGTGGAACACATCACTGGCACACCTACTTTCTCTCAGTTTATTCTGTACTCAGTCCAGAATCAGCAGCATCACCTTGGCGTAACACTGGGACCAGCTGATAGATGCCAAGAGTAATAGAGAACGGGGGGAATTGCGATCAGTTGTATTTGGCTTCAGACATTACTGAGTTACATATTGGTGGTGACTGAATAACAGACCTTTATCAAATGTTAAATACGACTGCATAGATTCATACTTTACAACATACAGTAGGCTAATGTTAAAGTAATTGGGCTACATTATATCACTGAAGGCAAGGGAAAACTTAAAGGGCTTTTATTTTGAATGTGGGCCTCTTTGTTTAAAGATGTCTGAATTTATATTACATGTCGGGTGTTCTATATAAATGTGTTAGTTCTGGCATGTGGTTTTATGTTGTAGATTATATAAAGCAGTTTTAACCATAGACATAATATACATAGACGCCGCGTTGAGCGGGTTGGCCCGCTGCTACGACACGTCAACGTAGGCGCCATATTGGAAGTGCCATTCTGCCCCGTGATACAATACAAGTGAATGGACTGAACTTTATAAAACACATTTAAAACACATTTCTACAACGTATTATAAATCATTTCCTGACATTTACCCATTCACACACGCATAAATATGTTTAGGAACCAAAACCAACATGTGCCACGTTGTCTGATGATTATAAATGTTAACTACTCCTTATATATTTACCACAAAGGTAGGAACCAAACCTACATATGTACTTTTCTGATGTTTTCATTAGTGTTTACAGCTACCAATTTTTGTAATGCTGTTACTGTGATAATAAATAACAGTTAAATATTGATTATTACATCTGTCTATACCAGTTCCTGAAATGTAGATGTGTCTAAGGGAATTAAAACACTGATGATTACAGTTAACAAATTTTGATTAATTGTTTTTATGTCCAGTGATTTTTAACCAGTAGTGAAATGGGAAATAGAATAAAGTCTGCAAATAAAAAAAAGACCATAATTGGCTGGCTTTTACATAGAGCAGGTATAGGCTATATTTTTATTTAAAACATTACCACAT